CAATGTGTATATATATATATATGTGTGTGTGTGTGTGTGTATATTTTTCTATAATAAAAGAACTAAGGTAATTTTCATACCAGGAGGTTTTCTTTATATCATATACTATATTATTGTGTTTCATTTTTAGGATGGACTTCCAGCTGAACTAATAGCGTTGGCTCAAGGCTATAGCGATATTGCAGAATTGCTAAACATAGTAAAAAATGTGAGTTTGTAGTTAGTAGTTCAACAAATTTTAATCCATTTCCTAATTAAGTTTATTTTATTTATTCATACATGTTTACAGGACTAAAATATTGAAGTATTTTGGGTAATCAGTATAGTTTATAGTATTCAGTTTTGTAGGAAAATTAACTATGCTGTATATCCTAAAGAGGGAATGTAATCTTTCTCTCTCTCTCTCTCTCTCTGATTTTGAGTGAACTATTGGGATTACTTGCAAGGATTTTTCAGTTTTTGGTTGTTTGCCTATTGTAGTTTAGCACTGAAGAATAACTTTAAACATTTGATATCAAACTTCATAGAAATTATAATTGTAATTTATAAAGAAAAGTAAGCTGTTGTTTTTCCATATTTTATTATTGTTTATGATAATAATTAAACAACCCAGTATTAATGAATAATATGTTAATTTTGAATATGCTTTAGTAGAATACAAACATTGTAGTCAGCTTTTTATCATACTGTAATGAAAAAATATATAGTTTTTGATAAGGTTGATTATTAAATGAAATATCTGTTTGTTTATTTATTATCTTACGAATGCTATTATAGAAACAGGTAAAAGAAGAGTTTGTTTCTCAACTTGTTCCCACGACTCAGCCTATTTCTCAAATAAAATTCAAGTTGTTTGGTCACAGTGGTGTTGGTAAAACAACTCTAGTGAAATCACTAAAATGTGGTTATTTCAGCAGTTTTTTCAGAAGATCTCGAACATCATCATCAGCTCCGTTAGGTCCTAGAAAAGATTTTAAAAATAGTAAGTAATATATGTTGAATATCATCCTTTTAACAATTCAGTACATTATAGGAAACCAAAACCAGTAATTATAGTAAGAAAAGAAAAAAAGAATTTATGTACATGTATTTTTTACTACTTTTTACTCAGTCTTTGAGCCATGAAATCAAATAAAATTTGTTTTTTTTTGCAGCATTATTGCTTTGGCTCATTTGAGTTGCTCATCAGCCACTAGCAAACACTGCTCTATTAGCTCAGTCAAGCTGTTGTTAAACAAGACTGTTAATGTTTTTACAAAATATTGTTGCTGTTTTGATTTATTTAAAAGGATGAAAAATGAAGTTTTTTTTTCATATAAAGTGCTGTTACTGTTTTGACTCTTTTTAAACTATAGAAAAATGAAGAATAAGTTAAGTTTTGACATTTTCTTCACACACACACACACACACACACACACACACACACACACACACACACACACACACACACACACACACTATAGAGTACATGAGCTACAACAGTTACTGAAGTTATGAAAAACACTACTTACATACCTTGAACATTTCCCCCTTCTCTTTTTATGACCTTGGAAACAAATAAGAAATTTCCCTCACCTTTCCACAGAACTGATAATTATTGCCTTGTACCACTGAAAAATTATCTTCACATGCAACAAGCCTTTAATAAAACTCGTAACCACATGTATTAATGTGTATTGCACCAGCCTATGATCCAATCATCATTAGACTGTAACCCTCCACCAAGAAGACGGTCACACATCCTCTGTGTACAGTAAACTTCATGAGCACTCTCACCTTAATAAATGCATATTCTTTCCTGAACAATGCTTGGTTTCAGGTATATTTTCTTTCATTAAGAATTACAGACGTTTTGCACTTTTAGTTGCCTTTCCTAGTGTAATTTGTCATGCCTTTGTTTTTGTGATTTTGAAAAGAAAAAAAAGGAATAAAATTTTAAACATTTTGGTTACAACTTCTGATTCGAACTGTTAACTCATATTGGTTTGATTTCTTTTCTTAATCAAATTAAAATTTTTAGATGCATATCCTAGAGTTTGTGATGTGGTTTCTTTGACAGTATTCCACCATTATTAACCCAGTACTAGAGTTTTGATACTTAATCTATAATTTATTTGTTACAGCAATGATCATGGCATATGTAACATATATATGTACCAGGCCTCCTACTTTAAAAAAAAAGATTTTGTGGATTGGCTTTACTATGAATTCAAGTACCCACATTTCTGACATCTCTTAAGATCCTGTCACTCAAAACAGGAATCATCTGTTACTGTTTTCCATTGAGACTGGAGATACATCAATTGCCAGTGATGTTCTAGCCTTTGTCCATCAGATTATTGGTCTTATTCTGTTACTTAGCTGAAGAACCTACCTGATTTTAACCTGCTGTTTTCACCATTTGCATTTACTTCTGGTTTTTCCCTTTCTTCATGAGGAACAGATAACCCAATCTTAATCCTTTGTGAGTTGTTTCCATGGGCATTTGACATTTTCTCCAGTTGTTTTTTTTGCTGAATGTCAAGCCATCTTTCTGCATGAGCTTTTTTCTTTGACTATTTCCTTTTTCTTCTCCTACCCTAAACCTCAGCTTCTTTATCTTCCCAGACCTTGAGAATCCTATCCTATGGTGTTTTGTCATAATTCTTCCTCTTTTCTTGAGCTTCAATCCCTTGAGCCGTTTTCCAGTTTGAGAATCTCCTCCTTCTAATTCTTTTTCTCTCTCTCTCAATCTGCTCATCTTCATCTTGTTTGGCTTCTTCTCTATCTGTCCACACTTCACCTTTTTTCAGAGGTTCTATAATGCAACCCTATTGGTTTTGCTGGGGGAAATTTGCACCTACTTGATCTCCATCTTGGTCTTGATTTTCTAAGATATCTTAAGTGTTCCAATTAACTTGATTTGATGTCTTACAGTTTTTCAGAAGTAATCTCTACTCACTTTTGCTTTCTGCTTTGCTCAGTTCACGAGTTCCCAACAGGTTTCTTGCTCTCAAGAACCATGTAGGTTTGCATCTTTTTTGCTCATCATCCTCTTGATAGTTTTTATGCCACAGAGGTGACTTGCTTCTGGTGCCACCCCATGTCTTTGATACTGTTGGAGCTCCACTCTCCCACTTTACACACCTGTGGACTTTTTTTTAAATCACTGAGACACACAGGTATTTTCTCATGGTCTTTCTCTGCCCTTCCACACTCAACCTTCTCTTTCCACTGTCCTCAGATCCTTTGCCTCTGTGGTACCTGGATGAGTCTCTACCTTCTCACCAGATTATGAATGCTGTAAACTAGCCTCTCGACCACCACAAGCTGGGATGTTACTCCTGTCTTTTTGTTGTTCTCAAGAAGAATGGTATTTGACAATCTATCATTGTTATGTTGTCCTAGAACCAATTTCTTTTTATCTCTTGGTTTAAGATGGACAGTTTTCTCACTCTAGGGTTGATATTTTCTCTCTTGGAATGTGGATGACCAGGGTTGACATTTTGGATGCATTACTTTTTACTAATATTTGTCTTGCCACCTGTTACTTCCTACATTTCATCCATGACAGATTTTTCAGTTCCAATTCTTTTTCGGGTGGGCAAAACCCCATATATTTTTACTCTAGTTCTGAAAATATTCAAAATTTAATCAATAATCAGTTAATAGACTAACAATGCTAAAGTTCACTGTTCACATTACTTCTTTATACAGAATGCAGATGGCCCATTGTGTAGCTTTGTGCTAAATAAAATATGATATGATAATCTATCTTGTATCACTGTAGGTTGTATCTTAAAAGGTAGTAAGCATTTCCCATCAGTCAGAGGTAATATTTGTCAGTTCTGTTGTAAGGCGAATATCTATATGAATACAGAAATGTTAACTTTATGTGTTTTTCTAATTGTACCCCTACAATATCCAAGGATTAATGAAGATGATAATTTTAACATTTTTTTCTGTGGTGGATTGCAGCAAGATCCTTTATAAATAAATAAAAATAATAGTAAATTTGTTGTTTAAATCATATTTTGGTAAAGAACTGTTAGATTAGAAGATTTTTTAAAGCCATTTCAGACTCATATTTATATTATTTTTTCATGTTAAACTTTTATATTGACCTGTGACAAGTAATTTTTTATAACATTAATATAAGATACTGAGTTTGACACACATGTGTAAATGGTGATTTTTATTTCTTTACACATTATAGATATGCTAATTTTTTAATAGTTTTGGATAAAATGCTTATTTAATCCCACTAGGTTTTAATTCCATTAGCTCCAACTCAGAGTTCAGTGTATCTTCATTGAAAACTACTCCAGAGAGCAGTATGGAGTCTTATACTAAAGGTGTCGAAACGCAGCAACTACATATTCCAGGTGTGTTTTTTGAAACTCTAACCACAACTTTAGGTCTTATTATGTACACTAAGTTCACAATATTTGAAAAATTAGCTTTTAAGATTCTCTTAGTTTTAATTTGTGTCACATATTCATTATAGTATTTGGCCAATTCATTATTTTCGCAATGTGAAATTTGCTTATAACAAAGGTTATAATCACCACTGTATTTCTTGTTTTAAGTAGTGCAGTGTTGTACTACAAATCATTATGATACCATAGATACAGAGTTCAAATCCCTTAGCATAAATTTTGAAGTTAAATACTAAAGTTTTATAGCTAGTTTCTTTAAAATTCATCATTTGCTTTTTTATTTATTAGTAAGATAATTTAAAAAATTTTACTTACAGCAAGACAGTCTATTAGAAGTTAAAACAATACAGCTGTAGCTAAACTATTTTTCTAGCAATTAAGGATTTCTATTGAAAAGTATTTCAAGATTTTCACATATTACTTGCACAACTCTTGAAATTCTCATAGGAAAAAGAAAGTTTTTTGAAAATTATTCAGTATGAAGGAGGGGGTGAGAAAAATAATGCTGTTTTGGGGTGGGGGTGCCACTATATAAAGTTTGGAAACCATTGCCTTACACTGTTAATAATGTTTCACAATTACATTAAGTAAACAATTCTGTCAGTAGCATGCACTCAGTCCTTGAGCTGATAACTATTAAAAGAATACAACTTTAAAAACACACACACACGTGCCACTAAATGAATGTTCTTCTGTAATCCAACATCAGCAACTATTGTAGCTTTCTGGACTTTTGTTTATTTAAAAAGTAATATTTAAAATTTTTTTCAGTCCCTGCATTCACGAAGGATAGTAGAACTGATGAAAACAAACGGCTGTATGTTTCACAAACATTTATTATTACCAGGGTCTTGCCAGTAAAGATGAAATCAGAGAAGTAATACAAGAAATATTTGTGCAATGTACAGCAGTCTTTGTTTTTCTCAATCTGTAATTATCGAGTGCCACCAGCTATCAATCATACAATAAGGATAAATTAATCTACAATCAATATAACAATACAGAACAACTACAGAGATTGGGAAACAGGTTACGAGATAAATTAGCAAAACATTATCATTACTAATAACAGTAACAATGAAATAAAGTATGTTTTACCTTAAATAATATAACAACCTTTAAGTAACATTTATAATGAGAACAAACGTTTTGTATGGTTAGATGTATCTACTAGTCATGCAATACGTTACATAGTTAGGCTTAAACATGAGAAAACTAATGAAAATAAATTGTTCTGTTTACACTATTTCTTGTTCAGTACCTTTACTACAATGCTCTATTAATTTAGTGTACTTGCTGTTATTATCACTTGTAACTGATTAAAGAAAGGCAAAGAAACTACCTCCACAAGTGATAATAACAGAAAGTACAGTAGTTTCTTTGCCTTTCTTTAATTAGTTTTCCTTAAGTCTCAGCAGGAAAATTTAAAGTGTTAAAAATTGATGTTTTGTTGCATGCCCCACAGTTTGGAAACCACTGCCATAAGGTTTCACAAACAGTAATCTAGAGTTGCATTAGTATCCAAAACTTATGACATGTAACATGTGGAGATTCAACACACATAGCTGGATGAGTGTGGTGGAGAAAAAAGAAGAAAAATAACATTTATGAAATACCTGAGAGTTACCTTAGAATGGCCATATTGTACTTTTATACACTTAATCACTAAGAGTGTTCACAATCATTTCCAAACATGCTACTATCACTAACAATTCAATGCTGCTGTTTACTTTTGGCATAAAGGTGTTTTCTAATTATAACAATTGTATAAAAATTTGAACTATAATCTTGTTAAATTAAATTTAATTCACATTTACCATACCTTAAAATCTGTGAATATTCTTTGTAAGTATGTCGTCAGAGATAGAAAAAATGAATACATGAAAGAGAAAGATATGAATGAAATGTTTTTCATCATAATAGGTCAAGATAGAGTTGTTTTGTTGTAATGATTTTTGTTTAGTACTCAAATCCTCAGACTGTATCTTATCAGTTTAACAATTGTTAATAGTTCAAATTTTTTTCCCCTCTGATTAGGTGTTGGTGACTTAAGTATATGGGATTTCTCAGGTCACAAGCCCTACTATATTGCTTACAATCACTTTATTGGAAACACCAATTGTCTTCATGCTGTAGTGTTCAGGATTATTGATCCACCAGAAGTGCGTTATCAGCATATTCTTTTCTGGCTTCAGTTTTTCCAAGCTTGCATCCCACCTCAACAGCCTCTAGGTAAGAACTAGAGCATCCTTCCATCCATGTGTGTGAAATGTTATACTAGGCATGCTTGTACATATGAAATATACTTCATAATAATCCAGTTACAGATTGAATTTATTCTCTAGATTTGAATCATAAAAATGTTTCTCATCTGGTTGTTTTTTTATTTTTTTTTGCTAATGCAAATATTTGGCATGTTAAACACTGGAACAAATTTGACACTAAATTATAAAATCCCAGCAAACTACTATTAAAAATATTTGTCAGTAATGTTGACATGTTTCATTACATATTTCAAGATGGAAAGTGTTCAAGCTCTAACATTCTTTGCTTCTCAATAAGTATACACACAATTAAAACTAATTAAATAGTAAATGTCAAGTTTATCACACTTCTTTACTTTAAGCCCTTTATCAGAGTTTATTGGGTTTGATTAGTGCATACCTAAAGTTTGTTGGCCTAAAATTAGTAAATTTTTCATAGCTAAAATTTCAATAACTCCAGTGACTGACCACTTTAATATGGACCCTTTCCTCTTGATATCAGATTGGACCACCTTTTACTAAGATAATAGCTCTTACTCAGCATAACACAGATATTCCATTTGTTAAGGAGTATTTATCAAAGCAGATCAGAACTAAACTTATACCCATAGTAACAAGCATAGATAATCAAATATGCTGTTCAAAGTATCTCGCTTATAATGATTAAAATGCATTGTTTTGTCATTAAGGTACCCTTGCTTTTAACAATATTTTTTAGCTGTAAATCAAGCTGCAATGGACAAATTAAGAGGAATGTGGAAGATGCCAAAACTTCTGCAGTTAGCTTGTTTTTATAATATATTTTAGGCCTTTTGGTTTTCTAGTATTCTGCCAGCTTTTGGCATACAAACCATGACTTGTATGTAATGAGTAAAACTTTGTCAAAGATGAAATGTTCTAAAATGTAACATACTAATTTGAAAAGCTAACAATTAATTTGATGAAATGTTGTAATAAATTCCATTGAAATACTTAACATATTGATAATGGTGTTGGTTCACATTCCTTGGGAACAAAAAAGCCAAAGATAAACAATGTAACAAATATGCAAATTTTATATTACCATTAAAACTTTAAAAGCAAGCACTATAGACACATAGAATTTCAAAAATATGTTCTTGTTAAGATTAGCACTGTCGACTACAGAAAGCACATTTCATTCATGTTTTATAAAACCATGTGCAATTGTCTGATATCTGCAGACACATTTTCATAGGCAATGCGTGACATTATATTAAGAAACAAATAGGCAGACAAGTTTAATGAACTTTCCCACAAACTTCCATCATGTAAACATTATTTTCTGGTTACTTGTTTTGAAGAACATGTCAGGCAAGTTTTTTTTTTTAGGAACGAAATATATTTAAGTTTTTATTTTCATTTTTGTATTATTACTAATAATTCCATTTTCTTAAAAAAATAGCAAATATAGTATTGTCAAAAAATATATTGTACTGTAATTTCGTTTGCCAAACATATTGTCAACTTTTAATTCATTATATAAATGTAAACTGTTTCCAACATTTTTAGTTGTTATATTTATTTTATAGGTTACTGTGGTAGAAGCAGAAAATTAGCCAAAGTAGTTTTAATAGCCACCCATGCTGATGTAGCCAAAGTCTCCCACCATTCTCTGACAAAAGAAAGTTTGAACTTGGAGTTGTCTGTAATGTTGCAAGACCTCAAGAGCAAATTTATAAATATTTTTGAGTTTCACGAGAATATCTTCATTGTAGATGCGCATTTGGCAGGATCACCTAGTATGAAACTTCTTAAACAGTATTTAAATACTGAGAAAATTAAAATTGTTCAGGTAAGATAATGTTAAGTACACTTTAAAAATTTAATCTAAAAACACTGATACACAATCCAGAAAGTTGGTATAAAATAACATACAGAGGCTCTTCCTGCACAACTACCCTTGAGAACATAGTAAAAACTTAAACCCACCCTCTATTTTTCGGGAAACCATTGTTTCCATTTAAACTTGTAAATTTCCATCCTTCACTATTGCCAATGACAACAAATCCCATAAGCTGATCACCCTCTTAGAAAAATATAACTGTAATAACACTCTCGCAACAGGTAGGTCGGTCTTCTTGTCATGATCTTTTAATTAAAATACCTTATTATCAATTTATGTGAATAAACTTGGCATCAAAATGTAGTTAATAAAACAAATTTTTAATGTTGTATAAGTTTTAAGTTCTTAATTTTATAAACAAATATTTTAAAAAATCCTCAATCTCATATTATGAGAATTGTGACATATATACTTGAGGTCTTCCTTCTTTTGTAATTAATTTATCACCCTTCTGAAAAGTAAAGAATTTAACTTAAATCAGTCTTTATAATGTGAATGTTACTAAGGCAAAGTCTTAATTTTTATAGCCTTCAATCTTATTTGTTTATAGAATCATAAACTAGAAAATCAGACCCACTTTCCGCATCCACTGTCACATCTTCTCTTTCACAAATTGCCAATAATTTTCTCTAACATTTTATACTATATCATTTATAACCAATAGAAAAGCAAAGTTTTAATCAGTTGAATAGTGTATAATACTATGTTGTTTTCAGTACAGAGTACTGTCAGTTTTGTTTTCAGTTTTAAAGTTTATCTTATGGTGTTTAGATTAAGCAGCAAAGGGAATTAGTTTGAGTTTCTCTTGTCTTAGCTAGAA